ATTGTGGGAGGAACTATTCCTGGGTTCTATAAGAAAGCTGACTGAGACTTCACTAGTGTTACCCTTGTAGATTTGGGGAAACTCCATGTCCCCAAATGCTCCCAATTCCAGTTGACTTTCCCAGTATTAGACGTGGAGCCTGAACTGGCCATCCTCTGTAACCAGGCAAGGCTTCAGATGGCAGGGTTAGTATAACCCAACCACAAAACCTCTGACCTATAGTTTGTCATGCCTTCAGGATTTGCTGGAGCCAGAGCCTAGCATAATTGTCATTAGAATGATTTCATCCCGCAACTGATGGGAGCAGATCCAGAGACCCACAGCCTCATATTAGGTGGAGCTTGGGAAGTCCTGTGGAGGAGGGGAGAAAGGACTGGAGGAGCCAGAGGGTTCAAGGAGAGCATAGGAAAAAGACCCACAGAATCAACTAACTGTTTACTCACCTGGGCTCACAGAGACCAAGGAGCCTGTATGGGTCTGACCTAGGTCATCTGCATATGTGTTATGGCTATGTAACACTGTGTTCTTGTGTGATCCCCAGCCATGGGAGTTATGGTTGTGTAGCTCTGTGTTCTTCTGTGATCCCCAACAGTAGGAACAAGAGCTGTCTCTTACCTGCCTTTGGGATCCTTTTCTTCCTACTGGGTTGCTGAATCCAGCCCTTATATGAGAATCTGTGCCTGGTCTTACTGTAGTTTCTTATGGTGTATTTTGTTGATGTCCCTAGGAGGCCTGCTCTTTTCTGAGGGGACATGGAGGGGTGATGTATCTGAGAGAAAGGGGAGGTGGGGAGAGCAGGAAGACACTGGAGAGAGGGGAAGGAGGGAAACTGTGTATGTATGTATATATATATATGAGAGAAGAATAAAGAAAAAGGAAAAAATTGAGAAAGGAAGGAAGGAAGAAAGGAAGGAAGAAAGGAAGGAAGAAAGGAAGGAAGGAAGGGCAGGAAAGGAAGGGCAGGAAAGGAAGGGCAGGAAAGGAAGGGCAGGAAAGGAAGAAATGAAGGAAGGACAAATGAAGAAAACAAAGCAGACTAAGTAAGCCATGAGGAACAAGCCAGTAAGAAGCATTCCTCCATGGCCTCTGCATCAGCTTCTCCCTTCAGGTTCCTCTCCTGACTATTTTTTCAGGAAAGATTGATCAGGACCTGTAAGCTGAAATCAACCCATTCCTCCCCAGGCTGCCTTTGCCCACGGTGTTTTATCACAGCAATTGAAACCACACTTTGACAAAGATTAATTTCTTTGGAAACTTAAAGACAGAACAATATCCCTTTTACTAAATACTGCTACTGAGTCAGCCTACGGGAGCTGTACACAACAGGATTCTAGCTAAGTCTCACTTAAATGACTGTGTCTGTTAACAACCTCCTTCATAGACTTTACACTGGAGAACTGAGTGATACTGGATATATGAACATTCCAGACCTAGTAGTAAGCACTTTGCAGTCCATCCTTAGAACCTTAGAACGACCTCAGGACACGGTGCTGGTGCCCCTCGTCTTACTGATATGCCAATCACACAGGAATAAGGAAGACAATGATGCGATGTGAGCTCAGGCACCCTGAAGTCAGTCACCACACACAGTGACCCCATACTGCTAGGCTAAGACTGAGTAACACTTAACTCAGTGGGTTCTTTCTTTAATAAACAAATATGAAGATGAGTGTACTGAGGATTGGCTCATAAAACTGGATTTGATATCATTTTTTAAATAAAACCAATAAACAACAATTAAAACAATTATTATTGTCTTATGCGGCCATTACATTCTGTGGCAGCTATGACCATCTACACTTGTTTGTTACATTGGTTGATTGATTGATTGATTGATTGAATGTGTGAGTGTGCGTGTGTGTGTGTGTGTGTGAGAGAGAGAGAGAGAGAGAGAGAGAGAGAGAGAGAGAGAGAGAGAGAGAGAGTGTTAAGTTAGGAGGATGCAGATGCCAGAGGGAGTGGCTATCTTCTTTAGCCATGTAGGTCCAGCGTCAAATCCATGTTGTCAGGAGCTTGGTGCCATGCGCCATCCATCACTGGCTGATTCATCCTGACCCTCCTTCCTTTGCTTGTTAATGTTAAAAATTGGAATGAAAACCTGGAAATCATAGGAATCTACAGCCTAGCATCTTCCTGTGTTATGATGTGTTATCATTTAGACAAGATGCTTAAGAGTGACTTGAAACCATTGGGGGCTGAAATAGATCTTTGGGTGTTTTCCAAAGAACAGGCAGTTCTGAACAAGATGAGAGGAAACAGGGATCAGAGGAGAAAAGAAAAAGAAACTTAACACTGAGCAAAAAGAAGTGGCAAAGGAAGTGAAATCAAATAAAAGTTAAAAGGAAAGCCTGTGAGCTAGACAGTGCAGAAGACAAATCCTCATGTAAAACAATGAGTGGAGAAAGTATTCAATGCGTGTGTGTTTGTGTGTGTGTGTGTGTGTGTGTGTGTGTGTGTATGTGTGTGTGTCCATGCCACAGTGACTTGCAGGAGTCAACTCTCTCCTCCAACCATGTGCCTTTACTCATGGAGCTATCTCGCTGGTCCAAGAAGATAACTGTGGAGAGATTGTGAGTGGAGTTCTATCTCTTTACCATCTTTTTTCCTTGAAGGGGGTCCTATCAAAACTGATAGAGTCTTAGAAAAAGCGGCCCCTTTCTATTCTCCTCTGATACCACAATCTTCAACCAGCTAGTGACTTTCATTTGAAAAAAAATCTATCCATCCATCCATCTATCTATCCATCCATCTATCCATCTATCTATCATCTATCAATCAATCTATCTATCTATCTATCTATCTATCTATCTATCTATCATCTATCTATCATCTATCTATCTATCATCTATCCATCTATCTATCATCCATCTATCTATATATCTATCTATCCATCTATCTATCCATCCATCCATCTATCCATCCACACAATTACTTTTCATGAATGTCATAAGAGGTTGATTGCGAGAGACTGGTATTGACACCTACACAGGAAACAGAACTAAGCAGTGGCACAGCCCTGCACCATCACCCTGGTCTTAGCTTTTTTTTCATAGCGTTATCCAGATCTGGCTCATTGGATGTTTAACAAGTATTATTGTTATCTGTCTTCACTCTCCTTTTGTATGTGGGCTCAATAAAAGTAGGAACTTCATGTTACTAACACTGTTTAGAAAAATGCTGGCCATGCGGTGATACTTGGTGACTATTTGATGTGATGAATGACCACTATCATTTTAATACCAACATTGAACCATCTACTTGAACCCTCTATGTATCAGGATCTTTGGTGTTAAAATGATGACACCATCCCCCATATCCAACCAGCAATTGCTTCTGGATCTTGAGTGTTTGAAACTAAGAGAAGATGGGAAAAATGCCCAGACTAAAATGATTTTGGCTTATTGGTCATTTTCTGTTATACTGTATGAAATAAAATCTATAGGCAGCTGGGGAATTGGATACTATATTTTGGTAATACCTTGAAAAAGACAACTTTTCCAGATTCAATAACTAAAATGAATTCTACGTGGACTCCACATTAATCCCCCAAATTAAATAAATTAAACAATGAAATATCAGGGTTTTATGAAGAAAGAGAATGGGAAAAGCCTGCAAGGCCAGGTGTATTTCCAATCACTTGGGCGACCTCACCTATACATTTAACAAAAGCCCCGCCTCTGTATTCATCCCAGAACTCCTATTCAGGGCAGGAATCACCGTGGCTTGGTACTCATAAAACATTTTACAGGATGTAGCCTATAGTCGTTCAGAGTGGATCTCAGCTGTGTAATAGTAACTAGAGGATAACACAAGGGTGTGGCCTAAAGTGCGGCTCTGGTTATTTTGAATGTGGTCATGAGGCTTATGGAAATCTTGCAGCTCTCCTATCGTTTTCAAAGAATCCCCAGGCCTCCCTGGCCTCCCCAGATTTCAGTGAATAGCCTCCTCTGAAAGATTAACTTTTCTAAACACATCTAACTGATAACTGGACCAGGAAGTTCTTTTCAAATTGTTAGTGTTCCTCCATATTTGGTCGTCTAGTTGACTGCTTGGTGGACAGCAATCTACAGACTCAAACTGAAACAAAGCTGCTGTTTTTACTTCTCACTCTGAATACCTCTTTTCTCCCTCTCATGACATAGACAAATGTTAGTGTTTACTACGAGGCAGTGCATTAGTTCCTAATTAAGTTACTAGATGCTTCAGCCAAAATTTGCTGTGTACAGACCAAGAAAAGAATGGCAGCTATATAAAAAAACAAGTTGTTGAAGGTTCTGTATTGTTGTTTTGTTTTATTATAAGAGAGCTGTCTACTAAAGAATACAGGGACCTTACATACTGGGAGCTAGGAAGCCTTCAGTCTTGGCTTCCTCCTAAACACAGTTGGTGGGGCTAAATTCAGCATGCATCTGTCACTAGGTAGACCCAGGTCAAAGCTGAATAAATATTATACCACCAAGCAAAGCATGAGGAAATAAAGCTGTTTAGGATAGTTCACTTTTTTATACTTGACCCCCAGTTCTTGGAAGAACAAATTAGTTCCTGGGACCCCACTGGGTGTGATGTCTACTGCAGGATGGGTGTAGAAATGTCCCCTGGAGCTCCATTACTCTGAAACCTCCCTTCATCTGGCCCACCCAACCCCTACCCTCAATCCTCACAAATGAGAGTAACTCAAATTTACATCAAGGTATAGGGCAATTCTTCACCATCACCCGCCCCGCATCCCGCCTCCCGCTCCCCCCCCCCACCCAGACCTTCCTTGGCCTCTGCATATTAACTGACAAGTGAATCTGTTCTAAGCAGCACCCAGCTGTGAAGACAAAGATATCCTCAAATAAAATAGTGCAGAGCGACGCTGGCTTCCTCAACACAAAGAAGAATTCGCTTTCCCTTCTTGTTTCCCACTTTCCCACGGTGTTCTTGACCAAAGTCCTCACCTGACCCGCCGAGTCCACGGGCTTCCTTCACCCTCACGAAACTAATTCTCTGGCCCGGAAGTTAACGTCAGTAAAGTCCAGAGAAGAGAATCGAAACAGAAACTGATCTGTGGGTGGAAGGCAATACTTAAAGCTCCCTGCGAGGGTGAACGTCCCAGCGGTGGCAGAGCGGGAGAGTGGTCCCGGATCTGTGCCCGCCAGCTGCAGCGCGTTCCTGGCTCATCTGCAACCTCCCGGGTGCCACCGATCGATCCCCTGCTTGGTGGCTAACTGGTACCTGCGGCTCCCAGGCAGCTAGGCGGAAGACCCAGTCACTCCCACCTGTGGATCCGCCCGCCCAGGAGACTTCTCTCTCTTTCCCTGAGAACTCACGATGTCGATTGTCTGTTCTGCAGAGGACAGCTTCAGGAATCTCATCTCAATCTTCAGGCCCAGGGTGAAAATGTACATTCAGGTGGAGCCGGTGCTGGACTACCTCCTCTTTCTGCCCGCAGAAACCAAAGAGCAGATTCTTAAAAAGGTCACCACCTGTGGTAACACCAGCGCGGCAGAACTGCTGCTGAGCACCTTAGAGCAGGGACAGTGGCCCCTGGGATGGACGCAGGTGTTTGTGGAGGCCCTGGAGCACAGTGGCAACCCCCTAGCTGCGCGCTATGTCAGACCCACACTCACTGATCTGCCTTCTCCTTCCTCTGAGACTGCCCACGATGAGTGTCTCCACTTGCTGAACCTCCTTCAGCCCACTTTGGTGGACAAGCTTCTGATTAACGATGTCTTGGATGCTTGCTTCGAGAAGGGACTGCTGACAGTCGAGGACAGAAATCGGGTAGGTGTCACTGTAGACGGAGATGGGTTTGTGGAAGATTTTTGCGAGGCAGGGTTGCTTCTGCATTTCTCCATAGAGAGCAGCTTCTGACTTCTTTCAGCACAACCACCCCATTTTGTAGAATTGTTGTTCAAACCCACAGGGAGTCCATTTAACAGATGAGAAAAAACAAGGTAAGTTAATTCACTCTTGGTCTCCCAGGAAGAACAGAAGCGGCCTTGTCATAATTATGATTAATCAATTCCAGGTGATACTGAATTTTATGACTTAGATCCCGTATTCCTCGGGTATCAGTCAGTAAGCTATGGCCCACCCGCTGCATCTAGACTTGTATCGCATTTTGAGCCAGAAGCTAAAAATGGTCTTTAGCTGTCTGATTTTTCAATTTTAAGTGTTGATAAAGTTTTATTGAAATTCACTTCCTTATTGTTTATATGTTTTTATAGTTCCCTTTTCACAGTTGGGTATGGATAATATAGCCTTTAAAGCTAAAGTATTTATTATCAGGTTCCCAGTGTCCCCGTTCCATGTCTTATAGTTTGCTGAACTCTTTAAGTCTTGGTCCAGATGAGAAATTATGTCTTCTCTCTTTTCTTTGATCAAAGTTTTCATATTATCCAGAATTCAAGTTCAGAGACAGTCCACTGACAAACAAATGCCACTCCTCTCAGTTTTTCACACTGTTGAAAGAGCAGGTGACTCTTTCGGAGTATCATTTGTGTGTGTCAGTTTCTCTGGGGACTTAACATAATGCTCGTAGTTTGTGAAGACTGAAGACTGACCATGTTCGGCGCAAACACCGAACTCTCTGTACCTAGCTTACCCAGTGTTGCAAGATGAAAGTCTTGTTTAGGGGCTGGAGAGATGTCTCTGATCAATAGTAAGTGCTGTTCTTGAAGGGGATAAGAATTTAGTTCCCAATGGCTCTGTCAGGTGTCACACGACTGTCTATAAATTCATGAGATCCAGGGAGATTGGGTACCTATGGCTTCCACCCACACTATAGCCACATGCACATCCTCCACCACCCCTCCCCCAACACATAGACACACAATCAAAACAAAATTAAATACAACTTAAAAGTCTTTTTTGACAAACATGTAGACAAATGTCCCATAACTGTAAGTCAAAAGCTTCATGTATTCTTTGTTACGATTTTGATGTTTTCTTCTGTTCGGTTCATTGGCTGTATCTTCATTGTAGACTCTTGGCATCAGACTGATTGGCTATATATGATTCGACTTGGCCTTTAGTTACTGATATCAACAGTACTTCACAGAGTTAGCAGCACCTATGGCTATCCAGAGACAAATTATGCATTGCATTTGGATGTCCAGTCTCTCTAACAAGTAAATTACTTTGCACTGCTGTCAGCCGCGTTTATATCATTTCTTGTATTGAGAAGCGGCTAGAGCGTATTATAGTGGTCCAGCTGGATATGACAAATGTGTACATCACTGTGGCAGAGTCGTAATTTGGAAGAAAGTATGCAGCCTCCAAGCCAGCTGGAGAAGGAAGATGGCATTTCCAGCCACAGTAGCTGTTAGGAAGTCCAGAAGCAACAGAGTCCAGTCACACCACAAAGCTGTTTATGTTTGCTGGTATGATGTCCCGAGTGCCAGAGAATCAGCACTTCCCCATATTTACTCTAAATACGTCTGCCTATCTGCATCACTTTTGTCTTGCCTGGGTTGAATTTCTGCCAGCTACATTTTATCCAAGTTCTTGATTCTGGCAAGCTCAGAGGCAGCTAGCAGTAATGCAGGGGATTTGACACGAAGGAGAAGATGGATGGGAGAAGGACTTTTGTGTACTGGCAGCAGTTAAGCAAAAACAACCTGAAACTTCCTCCCAGCTTGACATTTCTAAGGAATCCCTGAGAGAAGGGAGAGCTACTGATTTGAAGCCAGGGGGCAGTGGTGAGGCCGCAGGAGTCTGTCATGGTTTCCTCATGCACTGTCTTACATGAGCAGCTCTGAATGCAATCATGAAGCACAGTGGAGAGGTGGTGTTATGTTAGGAGGAATCTCTTTTGATACAGGACTCATCAAAATGTTTAACGTACAACAAAGTGGCATGGCACAACCATAAGAATTTAGGATAGTAAGGATAACCATCAGTAATGATGATGCTGATGATGATGAGGGTCCGTCTTTGCATTTTGCTGTGAAATTTGGTTCCATGATCTTAAGATTCTCTGGGAAAATGAATAACACAATAATTTCTAAGCTCACCTCAATACTAATTTTGAAGTGTTAAAGAAAAAGTTTCATAAATAAGCAACGTTCTTTTGGTATGAAGATTATATGGACTTTAATAGCTTTGTAATCTAAGGGTAGAGCTTCAGGGATTTAGGTAAATGTCCCACATAAAAGCACACTTCTCAAAGTCTTTGGATTAAATTGATTTGAAAGAGAAACTGTCTGTCACTTTATGAGTACCTAGAATCTAGCCGATGCATCACTTTTGATTGGTGTTTGAACTTATTTGAAAAAAAAAAAGAAGAAAGAAAAAGAAAATTGAATTGACAACGTATGATGAGCTGAATTGCTTTGCCAGATGCTGGGAAAGAGATGATTGGTGGGGATTTGAAATTTGGTAACTTTAAACAGACATTAAAGGTTAAACTTCACTTAACTAATTAATCAGGGCTTCTAAAAATGGATTATTGTAACTATTATTTTTGTAGACCTTCTGAGTTAGCCTTTGCCAAAGGCTGAGAAGCTACCTTGTAGATTTTTTCTGCTTGATTAGTTATTTTATTTTTTTCCTTCTTACCCGTATCTGCCAGCACTAGCTGGCCCCAAGGGGTTTAAGAATATGAACCCCAAGAACATAGTTAACTTACTTATTTATTCATTATTTCAGAATGAATGATTTGGGTGACATCTTCACCACGCTCCTGTGAGAAGGCAAGAAAAAAAGCACAGACACTGTGTGCCTAAAGTTTCTGTTGCAATGTTGACCAGCCTTCAGTCTTCCTAGTTTCAGACTGTCTGCAGCATTAGTAAGCCTACAAGCACATCATTACCAGGGTCATTTTACAGATAATCAAACTAGAATTATCTCTCACAGTAACAGAATTTCCTGCATTGCCTAATATCCCTAGGATACTTAGTGCCAACTTGGGCATATCCATCAACACAGATCACGATCACATGGATCTCTGAGACAAAGGTCATAACACTTCAACGGCACAGTAATTTCCACATGAGCAGCTATGGAGAGAGAGATTCAAGCCCTGGATGACATCACTGAACACGAGTAGACTTGGAGGTCATGTTCCCTCCATTTACATAGAGAACTAAGATACCTTGATATCCCAGATAGACACTGAGTCTAGCCCTTCTGATATGAAGTTGAAAGTCCAAGAAAGTTTTCCCTTCACATATTGTATTATTAAGCAAATTAGGAAAAACAGGGGTCATTGGGGCGAAAAGTAAAAAGGTATGAATAAGATGTTAGCAATATTGACAATTCACTTAGTAAAATAGGAACAAATTCTTTGTTTAGGACACAATTTTTGCTTCCTAATTTTTTGTTTTCTAAGTTGAACTCTGCTAGATTTAAAAGATCACTATTATATTTAAATAGCTACATAAACTATCACAAGAGGAAGAAAAAACTTGTAGTAAGCTGTACAGTTGTCTTGGAAATCCCAGTACTTTATGAAAATAGTGTTGCTTTCTCCACTGATTTCTGTTGAAGAGGAACAGAACATCAAACTCAGAATATTCAAGAAGTGAACTGTTCTACCCACAAATTCACCCATGATTTTTACTCCATAAATTAGCTTTTTTTGGGGATCTATGAACATTTTTTTCAGTTCACAAGGAAAACTTCTAGTTAGGGATGGAATCATTGTACTGTTAGAGTTGTAAATAGATACAAACCTCCTGACAATTGAAATTATTAGGCTTATCTGCTTAGATCTAAATGTCACTGCAATATTTTAAGAAACAGAGTCATCAGAATAGGTAGGTGGGCACATATGATTACAAGCCTCCCCATGCTGTTCACTGAGATGATGGCAGCTGCTGTAATGGTGACCTATTCTAATGTCATCACTCACTCATACGTTGCCCCACCTTTGGCACTACGGAGGCTGAGAAGCAAAGAAATGTGGTCACCAGCAGCCAGGGCACGATTTCAGATGATGTGTTTTCCAGCACCAAAACAGAAAAACATTAAAAACTGAGATCACCGATGAAGCTATCAGAAACAAAACAAAAAACCACAGATAGTATATGTAATTTGTCATTCACATAACAAAGACCCTTGGGAGACAGTACAACATCAAAACCTTCTCATATGCCTGAGTACAGAAAGTATGAAATCTCAGATTCTGCTGTGAAACATAAGAATGATAGAATAATGGTTGAAGGAAATTTGGGTATTAGATACTCTTAGAATCTAACAAGAATATTAATTACAAAGCTTTAGAAAAATCCTGGTTATTTCTGTCAGAGTTAAAGCTGATGAAAGGGTATAATGATAGAAAATGGGGGTGTTGAGTTAAAATAAGAATCTATCATCAGTCTTATGTATGTGTGTAGCAATTGTGTTTCAGATTACCAGAAAACAATAAAAATCTTGAAAATTCCAGAACAGACAAAGATTTTTTTTATTCTATTGTGTTATTACTGAAGTTAGAGTAAACAGAAGGGTTAAGAAAGAAACTTCTTAGAAAATACTTTTGGGGGAGATGGCCTGAAATGGATAAGATGAATCAGATGAGATAGTCATTTTAACCACTTCTTGCCAGAATGTGAACTTAGAATTGGAGAACATTTTTAGCTGGAATTATAACTCAAGAATTCAGCATTCACTGCAGAAACTCTGTTGCCTAGGATCAAGTTCTGTGTCTGAAAGTTTCTAGCTTTGGGACCTTTGTAGCATGGCCTAAGTCATCATTTCCTCCAAATGTTTATTACTCTGTTAGGATCTGGAGATATGTGCTATGATCATGACTGTGCAGATGATGTGTATTTTAAAATGATTTCTTAGATTACTATAGAAGAGAAAGCAAATGGTGGTTACATACCTAAAAAGGATAGGGGAACTGAGTTCTAATGATATTGAATGCCCAAAAAGTTGGAGAAATTATGTCATTGCAATAATAAATATTGCACATATTAAATAGGCAAGAAGGTAAATCTGCATCAATAGCTACTTAGTTCCAGAGTGGTAACAGTCAAGGAAGAGGACACAAAATGTCCAGTTCCTCATTTATAAACTTCATCAATGAGGTTGAAAGAAAACAACAAGCCCAAAATATATTGAAAATAAATGTCTTACATTCTGGTGGACAGAGATAGGCAGAGCTGATGCCTCACTGAGCAGCCAGTTTAGCCAAAATACCAAGTTCCTAGATCAATTCGACCCCCAAATAGAAAGAACTGAATAAACAAAGACAGCAGAGGTCTGATGTTTACATGTGCATGCACAGGCAAGCACATCTGTGTGCACACATGCACATATCCACACACCACACACACACACACACACACACACGATACAACAGGGACACACACTGAAGATACTTTTTCTTGGCTTTGGTTATAGGAGCTTCATCCAAGCATTTATTAATCTGTCAATTATTTTAGTGCTTCCTTTTTATTAAAGTTTTTGCTTTGAATTTTAGTTTGAAATAGGAAACTGTGGAGGAAATGTGCTGTGATGTGTGTGTAGAGGTCAGGGGACAGCTTGTGAGAACTGGCTTGCTCCTTCCATAATGTGGGGGGCTGGGAGTTGAACTCAGCACATGGTGACTTAGCAGCAAGCACCCCTAACCACAGAGCCACCTCATCAGCCTACTTTACAATTTTTTTTCTGCATTGAAAAACATTGTTTTGGCTCAATGATTTGTTTTTCCTGATAGCCTGTCAAATAGCTACATGCAACACTGTGGTATTCTTTAGCATTTGGATGTAAGCCTGTGTTTACATGTATGCCTTACCCGTTGGTTTTTCTTTGGAATATTTTTCCTATTAATATGTTCAGAGGTTTTTTTTCTTTTCCTTCTTTTCTGTTGAAATAATAGATTTCTGCTGCGGGAAACAGTGGAAATGAGTCAGGTGTAAGAGAACTGCTGAGAAGGATCGTGCAGAAAGAAAACTGGTTTTCTACCTTCCTGGATGTTCTTCGCCAAACTGGAAATGAGGCACTATTCCAAGAGCTGACAGGTGTGGGCTGCCCAGAAGACAACGCAGGTATTTCCCATGTTATCGGGAAGATTTTGTATGCAATGTGACTGAGATTTCAACAAGGCCTCAAAATATAGTATCAAATATCAGGGGGTTTAGAATCAACATTTTGAAGGGGTGGGATGGGGTGGGGTAGGAGTGGGATAGGGGTGTGGAGTGGGGTGGGTAAGGACATCTTCTTGGAGACTGTGGGGAGGAGGAACTGTGGGAGGGCAGACAGGGATGGGAGTAACGACTGGACTGTAAAAATTAAAAGTAACACTACTACTATGACTACTGATGATGATGATGATGATGATGATGATGATGATGATGATAGCTTCTCTTTGCACCGGAGAGCATTGCAAGGGGCAACACGTCATCGGACATCAGCCGCTCGAGGGGAGCAGGGTCACAATGGATACGTCTGAACTACAGCTCTTGCTCCTCAGCTCAGGGAACATGAAGAATGTAAGAGGTAGAGAACCAGGAAGTCTGCTGTGAGACTGTCTCTTAGAAAGGACAGGGAGGTCACAGCCGTGGGACCCCAACAATATGGCTGCCTAAACAAGACCCAGACAGTGATAACACCAACAGGAGGGAGAGGTCTCATGGGGTCCCACTCCTGACAGGGGGAAAAAAACTATCAGCAGCTAATGGCTGCTAAGAGAGGGAGAATTTGTATCTCCCAGCAATGCACCCCCAAATTTATTATCTAATACAAAGTAGTTAGCTCTGAAATCACAGACTCTCAACCAAAACCAAGTAGGCTCATCGGTCAAGTAGTATTTTATATGGCTGCATGTGTGTGTTTAAGTGTAACAGTAAAAGTCAGAGAGAAGGAGGTCATGAGTTTGAGAGGAAGTGGGCGGGGCCGTGGGAGGGGTTAGAAGCGGTAGACATAGGAAGGGTCAGAAGGAGGAAAGAGGAAAAGTAATGTAATTACTATAATTAAAATGTGAAAAATTGAAAAAAGTCAGGTAGGAGTTTCCTGAGTCAGTCTCCCCCTTCCTCTCCCTCTCCCTCTCGCTCTTCCTCTCTTCCTCTCTGTGTGTAGGGAGCAGACTCACTTGTGTCTGTCTATGTATCCCTCTGCGTGTGCAGGGGTCTGTGTGCCACAGGAACCATGTAGGGATTACAGGACCGCATTGGGTGTCTGTCCTCTCATACCTGGTCTGGGGTAGGCTTTCTTTGTTATTCTGTCTGCATACACCAGGCTAGCTGCCCCCAAAGACTCCCTGTATTCTCCTGCCTCTGCGTCCCATCTAGCTCCGAACAGTACCATTATAACAGACGTGCCCTATTCCTCCTTGCTTCCTGTGGGCTTTTGGGATTTGAACTCAGGTCTTCGCACTTGTTTGACAAGTTCTTTATCCACCGTCTCTGCCGGTAGCAACCTTTCTGGGTTGATTGATAAGAATGGCAGAGAAGTGGTTTTGTTTCTCTCTGCTCAGTTGTGGTAAGATGTAAAAAGAAAATGAAGAGTCATTACTCATAATACAGAAGATCTGGAGAAATTTTAGCTCATGCTATGATCGTGGGTTTTTAAGATGAGGAACAAAAACAAGCATCTTTTTTTTTCTTATCATTGAGGACACAGTGAGAAAGGGGAGGAAGCTAAGAAGAGGGATCAACCGGAAGCACCATGACAGTCGACTGCGTAGAGAATTGTGAGGGAGGTCTAAATTTCTTCTTTTTAAAATACACAGGCTACGGTATGGTGCCATGGTAGAGGACCCCAGGCTTGAGATCCGTATGTTTATGTGCTTCTGGCTCTTTCCCTGGACCTGTCACCTTTGGTCATCTACTAGACCTCCTTGAGTTTCACCTTACTTGTCTGTGAAATGGGTACAATAGTATCACTTACCAGCTAGGTTATTTTGAGAAGTAAATTATTTAATATATGTAAATGGATTTGCGGTAACTATAAAGTAAATGGACCATTTTACATTTATTATTCATTTATTGTTTATTTAATTTTAATCTGTATGAGTGTTTGGCCTGTGTGTATGTCTGTGCCCCATTTGCATCCCTGGTACTCCAGGAGGCCAGAAAAAAAAGCAGCAGACCCTAGTGTTACAGACAATTCTGAGCTGTCATGTGGGTGCTGGGAATCAAAGCTGTGCCCTCTGGAAGAGTAGCAAACATTCTAAATCACTGAGCCATCTCTCTAGTTCAGGACTGTTGTAATTTTAAAACTTAGTAACTGTTAAATAAAGAAAAAGAAGAGATTCTTCACTATGTGGGATACTCAAAGGAATTGACACATAATTGCTGTTCAGGAGTGAGGTTTACAAGTAGAAAGACTGGGTCTTGAGGTCAGGGACTGTAAGAAGACAACAGGCCAGTGTATGAGAAACAGCATAGGCTTTAAAGGGAAGACACACTTGCCTTTGAATCATAGAATGGTTTCATTAAGAAGAGCAAGTTAAAAAAAAAAAAAAAGAAGAGCAGGTTAAGGTCGGAATAAAGGTAGAATGAGACAGGGAGAGGCAGAGGGAAGAGAGCCTTCAGGAAATCCTCTGACTTTTCTAGCTGTTGGGGGGTGGCAGGAAGGTCTACACTGTGGCAAGGAGGCTCAGCAGTCAGGTATTGTACAGGGTAGGACCATGAATTAGGTGTTGGTAGAGTGGCCTGATGTCTTTGAGCTGTGGGATCTGACACTTTAGAGTGGCCAGTGTCTTAAAGGGGCATGGCAGTACTCTAATAGCCAGTAGCTAGTTATAAACATTGTCACTTTAGCTTTATCTGAAGCCATATTAATTTTCTTTAGGAAATTCTCCATGCCAGTCTGAATGGGTTCTTTTCCCTTGCTGTTTAGAGTGAGATAATCTGCAAAAAATTATATATATGTGTGTGTGTGTGTGTGTGTGTATATATATGTTATATATATTCTTATATGTGTATATATTGTTCTTATATATACATATATATTCATGTTCAATTCTTAATATATAAATACAATTCTTAATATATATATATAATTACAACTATATGCATATATAATATATACATATTCTTTTTCTTTCTTTTTTTAAGAATTGTATTTATGGCTTGAAATTCCTCTGATATATCGAAGTTTCACAAGGACTTGATCTTCTTGGCCTCCCTCCCTGGAGTGTCCAGCCTTTTAACATTGTAACACCACACTGTGATTGACAAAACACAGGCCTAGAGGATCCTGACCTAGAGCTCCAAAGAAAACATAAATCGACCCCCACAATCTCATCATGTATTGAGTAGGTTTACATGTTTGTGTTGGCCTGTATTCATAGGCTCCCTCATGCAGCTGATGGTCCACATGGCCAACAGGTTGCAGCTTAAATACTCCTGTATGCTGAGGCCAAAGAGCAGGAAAGGTAACAGGAAAGTGGAGGAAATAGATTCCTTTCAATTAAAATAAGAAATCCCAGGAATCCAGAACACATGGGTTCAGTCTGACATTAAAGCAGATGTACATCTCATGAACATGGAGGCAGGAACAAAATGGCAAGTAAAGGCTAAAGAAAGCCACCCAATTTGCATCTCCATTAATTCAGCCTTAAATAGAGTTCGGAGTCATCAAGTCAGTGAGCAACTTCCCAAAGACAACGGTCAGACAGGAAGTCATCTCACTTCCTTGTGATTCGATTAGTATTTGCCTAGCCTGTCTTTCCATCTAAAATGTGATTGTTACACAAATACTCAACTGGAGTCTCGTTAAAAGTAAAAATACGTCTCTTTGTGTTACACCGAAATAACAAAGTCTTTGGAAATGTCAAAGTTAGAAAGTACAGTGTCTGGGGAACAGACCCCGCTGTATTTTAAGAACACCAATGGCATCTGTACACATTGTGTGGAAACCTGTGTTATCCTGTCATTTACATCTGATACTTACGATTCACAGACTTGGATAATTCGTCTCACAGAGATGGGCCTGCAGCTAGTGAGCCCCTTCTGCCTGCTGTCGATGAGACAAGTCTGGAGACAGAGACCTGGAACACAGAGGACACTTCACCAGAAGTTTCTTTTGCAGATTCTTCTGTGACCACAGGTACCTGACACGTGAGGACACCTTGTGTATCATAACTATTTCCTGTAAAAACAAAAAACAAAACCTCAGTCTGCTCCCTTATGACACCAGAACCTATGAAACACCAGGCAAATTCGGACACTGGTGTTACTGAGAGTTTTTATTTAAACAATATTTTAGAGAAGATTAAATTAAAACTGCTACTTCTAGGTTTAAATATTTTTAAATGGATGTAATGTTTCTAGGATGAATAGGAACATATTTGCTTCCAATTTCACTTTTTAAAAATGTGTGGTCATTCTTATGTGATAACTGACCCAGGCGCATGCTTATCTTTCATGATTGCCAAATTATTTTCCAATATGCCAATGAAGAAAGACTGCGGACAATGCCAGCAGAGAGGGAGAGTTAATACTCAGTCCTCATGGATAAGCCCCAAATTGGTTATCCAATACCAAAGGATCAGCCCTAAAAACAAAAGTACAAACAACACTAGGCAGACTCTTGGGCTGTATTTATATATTTATTCGTGTGTGTGTGTGTGTGCGTGTGTGTGTGTGTGTGTAACAACAAAGAATAAGAGGCTATGAATTGCAGAGGATGTGTGTGTGCAGGGGAGGGGCGGGGATACAATTGGAAAGAAGAAGAGAAAGGAAATAATATAACTATATTTTAACTTTATATATAAGAAAAGACTAGAGTATAATCCAGGTAGTTGAACAATAAGCGATAAGTTTTAAGTTTACTAGCCTTACAAATCTGTCAAATTGTGTATTTACACAATTTGACTTTTAAAAATAGCTGTGTCTAAAAATATTCCAGTTTGCTTTAGTGCTCTTGTCTAAACTTTGCTTAAGCCAGCCCTCCTTTCCCTGTATCAGTACGGCTGCATTTTAGAAAAATTTGGATGCATAAGGACACTGAAGCCACCTATGTTCCCACAGTACCCATTACGGGTAACATTTCAGATGCCTCCTGCCCTTCCTTCTGCATACCTGTGTGTGGAATGGTAATTTCTCCTGTGTTCATTTTAGGTATTGCTCGGGGGGGGGGGGGTTACTGACTGAATAATAGTAACATCATTTGGATGCAATTAAACAAGTGTTGACAGTGTGTGCGTTTCCAAATTACAGCTTCATGAACAATGCCTTTAGAGCCCTCTGCACTTATGTCATTCTCAACTCATTAGAAACATATAATTGGAGTTTCTGGGTCAAACGATTTATGCAGTCTTAACACATTGGATACTTAGTGTCAACTGTCACTATAGGAATTCACACTGATTTACGTGTCCTTCCCAACTAAATGAGTGCCCTCTTCTCCCAGCCTTTGCCGCAGGAGCACATGGCATCATTCCAGTCTCCGTACAGTTCGGTACAAAAACACAGTATTTTGATAATTTGAATACACCTTTGAATCTTTCTGATTTGTACTATTATTTTTTTTCAAATCCCTCCTCTTTTGGTTGGTTTTGAGTACCTGTCACCTTTCCTATTAACACATTTGTATTTTTTTTCTCCTGGTATATACGAACTTTTAAATATATAAGATATCAGTCCTCAAAAATATCATTTTCATGGCTTACATTGTTTTTTTTTAATTCTATTCATAGTATTAGGTTTTTAAACTTATCATACTTAACATATATAAATTGTGAAAATTAACGGGATCTGTTGTGAAATTTCTATATGCGCACACACTGTGTATTATTATTCCTTTTTTACTCTTACGGAACCTTTTTTCTTTTTAAAATTCTCATGCATGGAAGATAACTTGCATGCTTGCCTTTTTGTGACATTCTAACAACATAGTTTGGTTTTTTGAAAAGCAGTGCTTCTGAGGTGGTCATGATCTAATGAACCACCGGGTGGAGGGGTCCTGTTGAAAGGCAGAGCTGGACTCCAGATTCCACTTCCATCACAAGGTCACAGGCACTTACTGCCCATGGCTCCAGCCAAACACGCAGCAGTGAGGGTTTAAGACACGGACTAGTAAAGCTTTTAAACCCAAATACTACAGGCTGTGTCTTCTCCATTAAGAGGTGCCTGAGCCTGTGCCTTCCTTCAGAAGCCAGGATTCCAAAGCAAAGCCATATCCAGATGAGGGAACTCATGATTTACCCAACAGTCTTTGTGTACTACCTGACGGTGTTGGAGGGTGGGGAGTGAGTCACTAGCCATCTTATAAACGGACACCAGTAAGAGCGGATGTCTGAACTGAGGCTGGGAGGTGAGCCTGCATCCACACGGCTACCCATCAGCTTGCACTTGTCTAGCCGGTGTTTGAAATTGGGTGAAATTGAAGGCCTGAGTTTTGAATTTCTCTATTCTTTGGTATAAGGACTTATTTTCTTAAGTTTAGCATGGACCTTGGGAGAAAATATGGGTCATAATAATGTCCACAGTGGATAGAAATGAAAGGGGCTGGGTTTTCTTCTTAGTTTCCTTTTGCTTTTACCTTTTGGTAGCATTACCTTCTGCCATTACTTTCATGCTGACCTCTCTGCCTCCCTTCCCTTCCTTCACTTCTTTTTCTTAAAAAGCAAACAAAACAAACAACTCCTATAATCTTCTTCCATGTGCCAAAAACTCTTATTCAAACCTGTACACACAGTGAGAAACTGCAGAACAGGCCTCAGCCCCTGTGGAGTTTCTTATTCTGTGAGGTTGGCCATTCAATTCACCTTAGGGCTAAGCTTAGTGCAAAATATTCAAATCCGTGTTAGTGAGAGAGCTTGTATAGTAAGCCAGACAGGTTTCTAGAACCCATCATGCTCACAGGAGTCCTCTGACCTACAAGGTCTTCCAGTGCCGGCATCTGTGACTAGATTAGTCCTATCCTGAACCTTTCCAAGCCAATGGTGGACGATTACTTGTTAGTGAAGACATGGCACCTTTGTTCCAGAGCTTTGCTTTAGGTGCAGCTACTGATAAATGGCTCAAGTTATTCCTGGTTTGTGCTTGTCTTGATCGTATGATCTTATGTCCATCTGATCTTATGAATCCAGGATTGCCAACGAACAAACCAACAAACAAAACAACTTGTTGTCAGCCCATTAGCCCAGAGAAGTTGCTTCCTGTTTGTCTTTTCATTTTGTGCTAATGACTGGATTTATGGCCTCTCTCATGCTCTGCCACTAATCCCGATATGCCACCCGTGGAATTACTTGGCTCACAATATTTATTGCTAAATTTAATAGAGGCATTTTGCCTATCTAGTCATTCTTAGTATTAACAATGAAAAATCTTTGTGAAAGCATGCCATAGGTTCTGGTACATATTTGCATAATGGTACGCACAGCTTATTGATTAAAGATACAGTGTGTTTATTTTGTGTTCTAACAAGATGGGCTAATACTCCAAGTAGTTGCCAAAAGTAACAACAGCAACAACAACAACAACAACAAATCTTGTTTCTTAAGCTGCATGCATTTTGTAAAATTGGATTTTTTTTAATAAAAGGAAAGAGAAATTTGTAATTTTAGATCAGGATATTTCTTATTATCTTTCTGAACCAGCTTATGTGACTTATAGTTCATGGAAAATCTTTGTGAAAGCATGTCATAGGTTCTGGTACATATTTGTACATGTTTGCTGCATTTAAGTTCATTAACTGTAAGTAGCTTTTCCATAAAGATCCTTCCAGAGTTGCTTTTACAAACTTCTGCCTCCTCCACACCTCGCCAGTGAGCACAGTGGCTCGAATTAAACAGACTTTAATGACGATTATCCTTCCTCCTAAGGCTGACAGACTAGAATTCTCCTGTGAAAAGTTCTAAATGGTCGTTTCACCCTCTCAGCACAAGTAGGGTTTGGCATATCTTCTTTTCAGCTCACTCACTATTTAGAATTGACTGCGTGCACGTCAGCACTGACTGGAATTCCGCAAACGCACACACACACACACATATCTCACATGAAGTAGGATAGGAAACATGTATGAAATTCTCATGAATAAAGAAAAATGTTTAAGAGAGATGCTGTCTTCCCTCTCTTAAAATGTAGTTATTAATTAAAATAAACCAAAGTTTTCTTTAAAGCATTGTCTTTCCCGAATTAACACAGTAACTTCTAAACAGCAACTGCACATTTTAGAACTGTTAATGTGACTGTCATGTTGTATATGGCTCTTCTTCCTTCTGAAGTTGCTCGCGATTATAGAACAAGAAAATATCACAGAATTTAGATGTTTCCTTAGACCACATTTACATGGAAGATTCCAAAGGTACTTAACCCAGTCTATGTATTATTTTAATTCTATACATTTACAGAAAAATTAAAGACTCATTTCTAAATATTATTGCTTTGTTAAAATGTGAGTAGTTACTTTTTAACATAGAATTTTTATTATCATATTTCAGGAAATAAATTATATGGTAAAATAAAAGTATAGTAAATGAGATTTCAAACAAGGAAAATGCTATTGAGTTCGGAAGAAACACTTCATGTAACACTGCGTAACAACAACAAATCCTGAAGCTTCTCTTATGGATCCATTAGGGCACCTTGTTTGGACTCTAGAAATGCAAGTACCTCAGAATGATCAGCAGAGGGCGCTTTGACATTTATAAAGAGACAGCATTTCTCTGTTCCAGCATGGAAAACGATAATGTAACTAGCGTACCATGTGTGAATACATAGTGCGCATGACCCAGAACGCATGTGTATATTTTGATTTATATATTCGTTCACGTGAAGATTTTAAAATTCCACCCCAGCTAATGAGCTCACCAACCTGCTTGTTTTCAGACTGTAATACCTTCTTTTTCATTCCCCCATATGTTCAACTCCTTAGGTTTATCCGGTGACATTATGCTTTGGAATATATTGTGGATATATTTTGCATAGATCATGTTCTGTAGGAGGGGTTTAAAAATTGACCTTTATAAAACAGCCTCTTTCTCCCTGGTCCAATCTGTCACAGCACTTTTGTTGTTGTTGTTTTGTGTTGTTTTTTTATGTTGTTGTTTTGTGTGTTTTTTTTCCTTTTCATAGACCAAAGTCCAATCATAGGCTTGGTCT